GGTTTGGGAGGGAGGAGGGGGGTCCGGGGGTCTGTCAGGGGGCAGGGGGTAGATAGGGGTCAGGGGACAGGGAGCAAGGAGGATCCTGGGGGGCAGTTAGGGTGGGGGGGCTCTGGAGGGGGTGGTCAGGGGACAAGGAGCGGGGAGGGGTAGGGGGTTCTGAGGGTGGCAGTCAGGGGGCAGGAAGTAGGAGGGAGTGGATGGGGCGGGGCTAGGGTGGAGCTCCCTGGGTGCACACCCTAATGAAATGGGCTGCGCATGCCTATGTTCAAGCCTCAAGATATCTGGGAACTAGTCTTTCAGAAAAGCCACTCAAATGTTTACAGTTCAAAATGCACACACCACAACCTATTTGAACAGCTGAAAATCCTTTCATTTGGTTTTCAAGGTAGTCTCATTTGTATGTAAGCTTTCCAGGTAAGTCAATGGTTTTCTTGGAGTCAATGATGTGATTATTCCATTTATTTCAATAGGGCTATGCATATTAAAATTAATGCACAGAGAAGCCACAAAAACAAACTCCAATCACACAAAATGCTCTGGTAAACATTTTATTCTTATGATTTCTATGGAATATTACCACTTATTATTCTCACTTTGCTATGTTCATCTGAAATTAGCAGTACAAGAATCCCACTTATTCCAAAGGGAATTTGCACAATGAAAATGACATACCCATAATACCACATGAAAAGAAACTGCATCATCATAATAATATATTTAATTATGCTGCTGGGAGTTTTTTCCCCCTTTATAATTCCAAAAGGCCGTAAGTCCCTTTAAGGACAATTGTAACTCAACATTTTGATCTTGAGCAAATATATATCTGAAGCTCTGAGTAATTTACTTTCTTTGCCACTCCATAAATCAAAACAAGTGTTATGGATTAAAAAGTCTTTTTCTGGAAATATTTGAAACCGTGCTGCCAAATTGCATGCCGGGTTTCAACTTGATATGATTTGAAATAGCTGAGAGATAAAAGCCATGAAAATTGGGATTTATTAATGAATAGGAAAGAAACCCTACTGCCTGCTGTAATACTGAGTAGAGCTAAACATTATGAAAAGATGTTTAGTGGCCCTGTTTCCCCAGTGAGGAGTTTCTCAGCCTTCTTAAAACCATGTTATTTTAAAAATATCAAATGGCACCAGTTCTGCCTTATATTCTGTGAGATGCTGAGCTTCCTCATCTCCTGATGACTACAATGGGAATTCCACAGATACATAGACTGTAAGGTCAGAAGGGATCATTATATCATCTAGACTGACCTCCTGTACAACACTGGCCATAGCATTTCACCCACTTACTGCTGTAGTGAGCCCAATGATTTTAGCTAAAGCTTATCTTCTAGAAAGGCATCCCATAGGATCTGAAGACATCAAGTCTTTGGAGGTGAGGGCAATTCACAGGATTAAGCTCCAAGATCCTGATCCAGCAAAGCACTTGGGCATGTGTAAAGCACTTAAGCACACGCTTAAGTGCTTTGCTGAATGAGTGCTTATCTGCCTATACACTTCTATTTAGCTGGGCTGCTTCTTCTGCAAGAAGTGGGCAGTTATGGTTAGACCAAACCCTAATCATATCCAGCTTCTATGGCAAGACACCTGCTTAGATAAGAATACATCTCCCTCAGATTAATCGTCAACAAGGCTAACAGGAGGGAAATGCAGGTAGCAAGGAGAAAAGAAGAAACGTGAGAATGAAAGAAGG